GTCGCATACTTTATTAACTTGAATACATTGGCCATTTTTACACGTCCTTTAAATGAATAAACAATACTTAAGTTCTTTTTATGGTTTGAAAATAGTTTAACCTTTGCGAAGGTGAAATACAAGTTGGAAAATCTTTACGGCCAATTTTAAGTGTACTATTGATTATATTATTTTCTTATTTATTGTGTATCTACCGCATAATTCTTCATCAAATGCATCTTCAGAATCCTGAAGAAAGTCACAAATAAGTGTAACATCCGTTGATTTGACTTGAACAGAGAATATTTCTTCTAAACAACTTTCTTCATCAGAACCATCGAAGCAATCAGTTTTCATATCGCACACGAACTTTTCACTTATACAATTTTGATCTGTCTTACAGAGAAAAGTATGATGTTTACATTCTCTACTTTCGCTTTGAAAATCAAGTTGAGAATTTGTAAAAGAATACTCTATATATTTGTGTATATTTGTGTATTAAAAAGACTGAAATATCTTTAAATATAGATAATAATTACTTTGTAAAAGTTTTTTCTCACAAACAATTCTAGGAACCAGACGAAATAGAAAATCACAATAATAATTTGCATAATTTGAAATTTTTACTGCAAGATGAACTGGTAAATAAAAACAAACACCATCAGGCAACCATCTCGGATATTCATAAATACTTAAAAATATATAATAATAATAATTAAGAAACTTGTAATACTGTATAATCTAATTATAATTACTTGTACATAAAATGATGTCTATCAAAGAGATTTTGATATAGCATTGATATTGGAATATTATCCCCCGTGCTAACGGTTAAAGTTTTATTGTAATAGTTTCTCTTATTAGTTGTAGCGATAGAATGATATTCAGCGAAATATAAATGGTTGAAAGTATTCAAATTGTAAAACAATAGTAAAGATATATATAACTTTTCTGAAGTGTCTGATATTGAGAGGGCGTTTAATCCTTTATCTTTGCAAATCTTGTTAGAGTCTGTACGAGGATTTACATCTAGCTTTAAAAAATAGTAACAACTATCTTCAAAAGTTGTGATGAGGCTAACTGAATGTTTTATAGGACAATCTTAAAAATATATCAATCAGTTTCTAATTCTTTCTTTTGCTATAGTAAAATTAAATATACTTTGAGGTGGATCATTATTGCATAATATTGCAATGGGTATGGAAGAATAGAAATTTAATTCGTATCTTAAATATTGTGTAATTGAACATTCATTTAAGGTGGTTGTATTTTTTGAACATGATATTGCAAATAGATATCTTTGGTTATCAATACTGAAATCACGATAAATTAACGATCCACTCCGATATCCGAAATATTGGCAGATTATCTAAAAAGTTAATATTTTTTAAATATTTACAACTGAAAGAATATTTATATATCAGCTCTTATTTAACATTTGTTTCTCTCTTCTGAAAATTGGATACTGAGACATAATGCCACAAGTTCAGCACTTTAACTTGTAACATTCCTAAAATTTCCTTTTTAAACTTTTCTCGATAAGGTTGAAAGCTATTCAATCGAAATTGATAACCTTATTTAAAAAATACAATTGAATAATGAAAGATAAAGAACCAATAAAAAATTGAATACATTTTACCAAGTGTTATTTGTAGATTGTCTTTCGTATATTGATTTGATGAGTTTTGTTTTCCGCACACAACTACAAATGGCATATATGATTCATTTGCAGTTATTCTCATCTTATTACATTGTTTAATTGATAATACATTATTAAAACAATTAAGAGCAATTTTGTAGCTTGTAGCGTAAACTTCACTCACAAATGCAACTTGAAACTTTTTACCCTCGTAAACAAGACCAAATGAGTTACATATTATATTTTGTAAACTGTTGGAAATTTCGAATGTTTTTTTTATAGCAAAAAGGACCATTACAGGAAAATTATTAATCACTTGAACAAGAGTCTTTGTCTTTTCAATACTTTTAAACATATTGTTATATATATATGCATCATCTAAACTATATTCAAAATCTTGGTTGAAGAAACATTTCCTTTCACAATTTGTTAAATTAAAACTTTTATTCGTATTATTAAATATGGAATTATCATTTTCGTATATGATTATTGAATTATTTTCTAATGAAAAATTTGACTTGAAACCATCTATATTTATTACTTTATCTTCGCAGAAATTTCCTGTTTTATCATAAAGAAACGTGTCTTCCCCAATACAAAACCTATAAGACTTTTTATTATATCTAGCAAAGAGTACATTCCTTTTGTTTAATTGTAAAATTTCAGTTGAATAGTATATATCTTAAAAATAAAGGAAGAATATTCATAATTAAAATAACAAACATTCATTAAAAATTGTTCAATTCTTTGTACATGTATGATTCGTTTTCCAGCATTTGACGCACAAGGCTTCACCATCCGTCAAAAATAAATCAATTTGACAACTTTTCGGTGAATTTACACATGTTACAACACTTTTGTAATAATGCGTATCTTCAAAAATTTTAAAAGGAAAATATATAGTAACCTTAGAACGTAATTAACAACATTGTTACTTTTTGGACATACATATCCATGACCGTGAAGTTGATCGAATCCCATCTTTTCGCAAACGTAGGATATAGCGTATGGCAAGGAATCTCTAGCGAAAGGTAGAACGGATATAGGCAATTCATATCCTGAATCAAAGATAAACGGTTGTCCTTTACAGGAGCTTGAATCGCATTCCAAATTTTTTTTAAGAAATCTCCATTCAAAATCTTCTTCCATTGTCGATTGATTTATATAGACACATACGAAAAATAGAAAAAGAATAATCGCCATATTTGATAAATAAAAAATAGTAGATAAAAGGAGGAAAAGAAGGAGAAAGATAAGAAAAAGGCGAATGTTAGGAGGCTGACTCTTAGGACTAATTATTCAATGCAAACACTTTGCACTACAGTTTAGATGTATAGAATAACAGGTAGGATGATTGGTTCTTTTTTCTTACAATAGACTTTTATTAATCTTTAATTAAATGTAATTTTACATTCTCATTTTCAACAAGGAAATACTATATCTTTTTCCTTTTTCTCATCATTTTTAACTGTTTAATAATAAAAAAAATGTTCAAAATGGTTCTAGTTAAACAAAATATAGATATAATGTTAATTTCTTTAATATTTCTTCAATGTTTCTCCATATTCTTCAATTTTATTCAATGTCAAGATGTTTTAAGTTTTAAATTTTCATCAGATGCTCATTGCACTAATGAATTTTGCCAAGGTTCAATTATTAGTGACGAAGATGGGAGTGTATTATGTCATCAGTCGACAGAATATTCAAGATTTGTATTTCAATTAATTTGTTCAAGAATGGGCTATGATGAATTAAGAGTTAATGCGTTTATTTCTAATATACATCCAAGTATTTCCTAATTATTCATACTTTTTAATTTAATTATCAGTTAAACTTTACAGTTTTCCAATAAACAACTCTATATTTCAGGTATTGTAAGAGAATGCTTTAGGTGTAAATACAAGGACAATAGCTATTTAAAGTGCAGAAAATCTGATGGTAATTACAGTTTAATTAATTAAAAGTAATTTGAAAAAGAATAGGAAATTTTAAATTCAAAAACTTTGAATAGATTATAATATATTTGTTCCTTTCGTAAAGTGCTATAAAGTTAATGTTCCATGTAAATAAAACAAATTTCATCAGGACTATAAATGAAAAGTTTTATGATTGTTCTATTTGTTTTCTATTAGATTTTTTTGCAATTAGATCATATGACGAATACGTTCAAAATTCTACTATTATCTATGAAAGAGTAAACAATTCTATGAAACCTCATTGTAGAATACAAAGCTTGGATTATAATTGTCGAGCTACATTTATAATTTATGGCTCAGTGGCATATTATGATTTTATACAACCTCTTAAAAGATATAATAATATCAAATCTTTGAAGCAATGCACCTCTGAAGTCTGTCAGGGGCTCATAGATACAGCTATAACTGGAATATCAAGTTTAAATTTTTATTCAGATAAGAAGGGGGATAATTTCAAATTTCCCGCTCTCAAAAATTTCAATAATAACTATCAACCAGTATTCGTTTCTTTAGTAAATACACGAAATCTTTTTGACTTTTTAAACTATTTCTGTATCGCAAGTGGAAAAGTCTTTACTCCCGTTTTAAATGGAATACTACAATACAGATTTCATTCGAAATGGTCACTTGACATAACGGAGCATGGAGCTTTGAGTTTTGATTGTAGTAATGATGTTGAAGAAGTGAATTATAATACATGTTTAAATTTTATAGAAGCTGAAAGATATAGTTTTTATGATGATAAAACTGTATCAGTAAATTGCAGTAGAGATCATAATTTTTATAAATATAATAAATCAAAAGGTTTAAAAGTGTATCTTATCTTTTTAATTTATTATAATTAATCTCTTTTTAGTTGAAAAATATCGATTAAAAAACGTAACAAATGAAATATATGAACATACTAAAATGTCTTCTGAAAGCCAATTTACTGGTCATTTACAAGCATTACACTATTCAGAATGGTATAACGTTTCAAATTTATTTATGAATGAACACCAAGTAAAGCTTATATGTAAATACTTTGGATTTAAAAATGGATATAGTAATGATTTTAATCCTGATAACATGTTTACTCTCCTTGCTTTAAACTGTTCAGAAGATTTGCTTCATTTAACTGAATGCCAAATAAGATATTTTAAAAAGCCAGAATTGAATTCTTTTACGGTGAAAAATTTTAAAGTAACATGCCATAACAAGCCTATAGGTTTTATTTTTTAAATAAACATTCATTTATACTTTCGACTAGTCTTTCCTTTTCTATTTCTTTTCTTTAAAGAATGTAGAAAACCATCTGGAGCAAATACAAATGCTTTTTTTGCATATTTTGATAGCTGCTATTATTTACTTGAATTTAAAAATTCAATTTCATACCAACAGGCTTCTAATGAGTGTGATAAATTTAATATGACCTTGTTGGGAATTAGTTCTCAAGATGAGGCAAGATTTATAAGCTATGCTGTAATTTCAAAAACTGCTGGTATGGATGTTCCAGATGAAAAATCACTATCGCAATCTCTAAAAGTCCCTTTGGGTAAATAATTTGTATTTTCTCTAATAGAAAATTAAATACGTATTCATCCTTTACGTTTTAAGGTGTGAAAGATGCAAAGGATACCTTAAATACAGATAATGTACCTTTAAATGTAATTGGTATGTGGATGATATATCCTCAAGGGTATCTATTTCTCAGACTTATAAATACATATATAGTGTAATTAAATCTAACAATTCTCCCCTATTTTCTTTAATATTAGATGCAAAATAAGTACAGTTTTTGAACCGGCATTTAGCTGGAATAAAGAAAAATGTATGTACCTATCAGCTTATGAAAATATGATTTATTACGGTTTTAAAGCAATTAAATGCTCTAAATTATTATTCACTAATGTTATTTGCGAATATAGAAAGGGTTTTCAAGGTTTATTTTCATATTTGAAAGAACATTATAATTCTAATTATAATAAGATATAATAGATACTTTTTTCAAGGCGTAGAACTTGTCGGAAATTTGATTCATAATAATATAATAAATACAAAGAACGATTCTAAGTTCTCATTCAAATGTGAAATTGATGAATTTTTTATAAATGTTAAATACAAATGCGACGGTCAGAACGATTGTTTTGATGGTTCTGATGAAAGTAATTGTCCCGTTATACATTATTATAATTGCGATAATGATACAAAAAGGATTACGGTTGGTCAAATTTGCGATAACATAAGAGATTGTAAAGATAATTTTGATGAGAAAAATTGTTGTAAGTAATATAATAATAGTATTCCGTTAGCTTGATTTCAATATAACATACTATAAATTTATACATCTATTATTCTTTTGATAGTAGAAAAAGAAGATTGTAATCTTCAGATAAACTAGTAGGATATTTCTTAATCTCAATGTCTTATTATCAAATCTATCTAATTCAATTAGTAAATGCAAGAACAATGAATGTGTGTCAAGATCAAGTGTATGCGATAAAATTAGAGACTGTATGGATAATTCAGATGAGGAAAACTGTTATCAACGTATAATTTCTTTTCAACAATAAGTTAATATAGAATATACTATATTAAATTAATTCACATTCAATAGCTTACTATGAGAATATATTTGCTCGAGATTATATTTATTGCAATGACGGAAAATACCATGAAATTGAGGCCACTTGTGACAAAAGATACGATTGCGAAGATAGAAGTGACGAAGATCTTAGACATTGCACAAGTTAGAAAACATTGACAGATAAATTCTATAAATGTCATAATCTTTGACAAAAACAAAAATATTTAGTGAAAAGTTATATAAAAACCTTTGAAGTATGTTCAATACTTTATACGGATAGAAAAAATATGAATAATCATTTTACATCTTTAAACGGTAACAGTATAGTAGGCTAACAATTGCAAATTAAATCTAATTTCTTTAAATAGATATTCTAATAGAACGTATATTCCAAAACAAACTTTCAAGATGTAATCATTTTTATTAAAGTGTTGGAAGTTTACATTAACTTTTTTATTTTTTATAATAAAGTTCCTCTAAGCATTTTCACTCGTTTAAGACCTGCTAAGAGTTCATTAATGAAAATCGACTGTTCTTTAACATACAATAGCATGGGAGAATTATTATCAAAACCACACCCACCTTTTAATGAACTATCTCAATGTTTAAAACAGAATAAATGTAGTCCTAAAACATATCAATGTCAGAAATATTACTATTGTATTGATATTACCAATGTATGTGACGGTATCAACCACTGTATTTTAGGAGATGATGAAATTAATTGCGGTAATACCTGGAATTTTTAACGACTTAATGCTAAACAAATCTAATATTAAATACAGATCAAAGAAACTTCAGAGGCCTATATCGCTGTCATAATACAAATAAATTTATCTCAATGAGCGATGTATGTGAAAGTATACATGCACAAAATTTCACATCCTGCAAAAAAATTTGTATCAAATCCGAGGAACAAAATGAATTCTGTAAAAAACTCTGCGCTGCATATAACAGAACAAATTGTTTTGGGTACTTTTGTGATTATCACATAGGCACAATATGTAATAAAAAAATTCATCTGTGCGGTAATCTCGACTGTCCTGAAGGAGATGACGAAGACGAATATACCTGTTTTAAAAATGTAATTTGTCCGAAAGGCTGTACGTGTCCATCTTCTGTTTATATTTCATGTACAGAACCTTTTCAAGAAGTCGGATTTTTTAATTTCACATTCAAAGAATTACTGATTGAAAACGTTGATTACGAAGATTATTTAACTTATTTTACTTATCAAAATCATTTTCAGCACATTATCATTAAAATTTCTATTAAAAGTGCAAATTTTAACCAAATTAACCTTTTGAATAATTGTAAAAATTTGAAATATTTGATTTTGTATAATAATTCAATTGTTGAATTGATCGATAATCAATTTCAATATCTTCAAAATCTTATTTACCTAGATTTAAGTAGAAACAAAATCACAAATATTGAAAAAACGGCGTTTCAGGCACTCGATCATCTTCTATTCCTCGATCTATCACATGTTGTTTTAACACAACTAATCACATCAACATTCATCAACCAAGCGCAAGTTGAAACCATGATTTTACAATACTCAATCATACATGATGTTAACGATGTATTCAAAGGAATGACAAATTTAAGGAACCTATCGTTAAGAGGAACGTCATTGAACGGAAATGATAGAATTCCAATAGATATGTTTTCAAACACCAATTTGAAATACTTGAAAAGCGACTATTTCTTTTATTGTTGTTTTGCTAAAAAATATCAAGATCTGGAAGAATGTTTTCCCCAACAAACTTCATTCAATTCTTGCGATAATCTCTTATCTTCGATCGGATTACGAAGTAAGTCGTTTGAATAGTTCAATCTCTTACATTTCCCTACCATTTAGGGCGTAGTTTGCGAATGATAAATATTTGTATATTTTGCAGTTTTTCTATACATAATGCTGTTTTTCGGATTGTTTGGCAATATATCGACCTTTCTTCATTCTATAAAGTCTTTCAAACGACCTTCAAATTTATTTCAAATTCAACTAGTTTTATCAAATCTGTTAATGGCTTTATATGTATTAATCATTGTTGTTCAAGATTTGAGATATTCCGGAAAATACATCGAATACGATAGAAACTGGAGACGGAGTTTTCTTTGCAATTTAAGTGGAACATTGTGTTCAACATCCTCAATCCTTTCTCTTTGTAGCATTCTCTTTCTAACATTTGAGAAATATTACGTCATCGTCTTCGGTTTAGGTTCTAAATATTTTAATCTATTACGAACAGTTTGTATGGTTTCTATGGCAATATTTTTTTCAATATTGTGTTCAATTTTACCTATATATCTATTTAAGGTGTGTTTTACATTAACATATCGTGTTTTTTGACACTTTATTCACATTATCAAATATGTTTTGGTATAAAAGAACTATTATGGAAGATATTCATTGTGCTTTTCTCTTCATCTAACAAATGAAAAGTCTAATGGATGGATTTATACATTTTGTCTATTTTCTGTTCTGCCATTACTTCTACTTGTAACAATTTTTATATTATACGGTTTGATATTTAAAAAAATATCTGAATCTAGTAAAATATTATCAAATAAACAAAGTAAAAGTAGAAAATTAAAAGTTATTAAAGCTGCATTTTTAATTATTTTCACCAATTCAATGATGTGGCTACCATTAACGTTTTTGGGTATATTAATTACTTTTAATAATATATTATGAAGCTTATAAAACCATTCTTTTATATGTTTTTTAAAGGTATGTTGTCCGCTTTCGGTAAAAGTTTTATTACGCAAGCAACCTATGTGTTTATTTTTATTATATTCATACCACAAAATTCTTTTATGCAACCATTTATGTTTTCATTTGTGGAATTGAAAAAGAAAGTAAAAGCATACGAATTCACAAGGAAAAAGATTAGAGATATTGTAAAGAAGGAACATTTCACAAAGAGTAAATCATTAATTTATTATTTAAATCAGTAATTTCTTAATATCCTCCTTTTTATCGTAAGCCTTAAAACTATTTTCTGAAGATTCCATTTCTGAGGGTATTATTTTTCGTAATAAGAAAGATTGTAATTTCCATAACAGAGGATTTGAACGATTTCATGGAAAACATATTAAAAATATTAGCGATATAGCAATGTTTTTTAAACGATTTGCACAAATTCTGAATACACTTCATTTAAGTCATATTCAGATAAAGCATTTCAACTTTAATCATTTGCTTGTTTGTATCAATTATAGTAGTTTGTTTATCTTAATTACTGAAAATATGTTTTATAGATTTCTTCAGTGAATAAGCAATTAATATTTGAAATGGAGAAAGAGAATATACAGTTAAATATATCTGAATTGGCTAACAAGGAGAACATTCTTCAATTTTCTAGAATTATGAAAACAGTTTTAAGAGAATATATGAAAAAAATATGAGATTAAATATAGATAATTACTTAATCTGATTTATTTATTTTAACATTTAAGAGTAAGGGTATTAGACAAAACGTTGACAATTTTAACGCTTTATCTGAACCCTAATCAAACAGCGATTAAATAGTTTATATTTGACGAGATCTATATTGAAGATCGGCTCTTCTATGACCAAAAAAATAACAGCTTTACTGTTTGTAAATATATCAAACGGGCTACTGTATTCTTTAAAACATCAACGCCAAAAGTACGTGATCGCTTGATTGCATAACTAACTGTATGACACGTAGCTAGGCGAAACATTTAACAAGATATAACTTTTATACAGTCTTCAGCCTCTTTTTAACTAACAGTAGTGTTTAGTAGCAGTTCTATAGAAGTTAAAAAATAACAGATGAATCATTATATATTAACTATTATATATGAGAATAGGTGTACCTCTACTTCCATTTTCTAGTTTAAATTCATGTCGAGGCACGACATACATACGATTGTACGTATGAATTTACAGGTTTCAACAGCTATAATCATATGTCTTCTATTACTCATTTGAAAATCAAATTTTACTTCGTTATTTCTCAGTAGTCCTTAAGGATCTTCTAGTAAGTACTTTAGCCTGATTCATATATCTTAAATAGTTTAGATTGTAAAAATTTATCTTTCATTTAAGACATTAAACTCTCTATGATAATTATTTATAGTAATTTCAAAAATGGAAAATAAATTGGTAAAAAATCCGTTAGTTATCTTCTTAAAAGATAAAATTGAAGAGATTTATTTGTCATATAAAGATCTTTTGTTACGTATATTGTCCAATTGTGATAATGAATTGAATATTGAAGAAGATAAGGATAATTTTGAAAAATTATTTAATAATTACATTTCTTATTTATCGATTGAAGATTTTAATAAAATTTATGAAAATCTTAAACAAGTAACTCCTTTCGATGTTGAAAATGATATCAATAAGTTTAATAATAAAGTTATAGATGAGATTAAGAATGAGCTTAAAAACAATATTAAACTATCGAACAAAACTACTCCTATTCAACTTTTCTCCTATCAAAGTAAAATCTGTTTATCTAATGAATTTGAATTTCTTGACAATGTTAAAATGAACGATGAAAGAATTCTTATTCGAGGTGAAGCTGGAATCGGTAAAACATATCAATTCAAGAATATTTTATACTCTTGGGCTACGAATAATATCCTACATGATCGAATATTGTTTGGAATTCAATTAAACGAAATTCAAAGACAGACAAGCCTATTTGACGAAATTTTCTATCAAAATGTTCAACATGAAACATGGTTAACAAAAGAATTTTTTGAATCTTATTTCTCTATACAAATCAATAAATCTCCCGCTCAAGTTATTTTACTTCTTGACGGAGTAGATCAAATCAAATATGAAAATAGGCATTTCAATTTTATAAGCGAATTACGTCAGCTAAACTTTCCTATAATTGTTTGGTGTAGAAAATGGAAAGCTCAATTAATAGATAAAACTTATAATAAAATCTATAAAATTCTTGGTTTTGATGAAAATAATCTTAGAATCTATTTAAAAAAACTCTTCAGAGAAACAGACATATTTCCCGAATATACGGCAAATATTTCGAATATTGTAGTAAAGAAATCCAAGAAAACTAGACGTATATCATATATGTTTGAGAGTGATATACTTATAGAATTTCTACGCAGTCACAGTAGCGAACTGTTAAAAGCTTCCCGCCATCCAATTATTGCGTATATGATTGCCGCTATGTGGAGAAAAAATGAATTAGAGATATCTAGTACGAAAGATTCAATCTATCAGGATTTCATAATGTTTCTATTGAAAAAAAATGACGTAAAGTCTTTAGATCATCAAGACATATTAAAGAATATCTCTACTTTTGCTTTTTCCAATTTCTTGTATGATGAACAAATTTTGGTAAAAAAAACTGATAAAACTGATACAAGTTATTATGATAACATACTTTATCCTTATAAAACCCATGCGGATGATAGTACAGAGTTGAAATTTGTTAATAATATCTTTAAAGAATATTTTGTAGCTTATTACATCATACAAAATATAAATACAAATGTTATAAATGAGATTAACTTAAGATCGAAAAATTCAATAGCTGTTGATTTAAGGAATGTTTTAAAGTTTATTATTCAAATGGACAGTTATACTTTTTCCATATTGATTAAAAAGTGTTCCAATATTTTAGATTTTTCGGAAATAGATGAAAAAATTACTAAAAATATTCAATGTACTACATCAAAAACCATTGCTATTTGCCTAAGATATACATCATTATCAACAACGGCCTTCAAATTTCTAATTAATTACTGTAATTTAATAAATATAATCAATTTTAATTTTGTTCGTATTGATTTTATTGAATTTTTTAACCATATGGCAACAAATATGAATAATTTAACCGAAATAACAATAAAAGGTGGTGTTGAGAAATATATTCCTATACAACAACTGGTGAAAATTACAGAGAATTTTCGAAAATTAAAAACTTTAAGCATATCCACTATTTTCTTCAACAGTACAGAAAATAATCGCATAACCATTCAATCAGATTTATTGGAAAGTTTAACTCTATCTCATTGTGATCTTGGTCAATTTTTCAACCAGAAGAAAATACTATTGAAATGCGAAAGTTTAAAATCCTTAGACCTTTCACACAATGGCATTACAAGTAGGTTTTTGTTTTGTATTTTTTTATCCAATCATAGTATATCTCTCTTTTCTTTACTCAAACCTCTAATCTATGCATTGAATGTACTTTTTCCTTAAGATATGGGATTACACTATTTATTAAATATGCTCAATTTGTCAACATTTCCGGAAAGTGGCCATGGAGCTTCAAAAAATATGAATTATATGACAAACCTTAGAGTTCTACATTTGTCAAATAGTCCTCTCGAAAATTGTAATCTTCAAAGTTGTATTGGAGATGCGTTTTATTATCTTCATTTCTTGAATAAATTAGAAATGAATAATTGTAGTGAAATTCTCATTTCAAACACTATGGCTGAATTTGTAGAGCAATCTATTCATTTGGAAACCTTGTCGTTACTTGGAAACTTCTTAGAAGAAGTGGAGGATTTGAGATTTTGTGAATCTATCTTACTTTCTAAATCATTAAAATATCTAAAATTACCAACTATTCAATTTCCCAGCAAAACTTACCTTACACCAATTAAAATTGAAACGGGAAAGTACCATTTAAATTTAATATCATTGAGCGCATCTGATATTGATTTGAATCAATCTATTGCATTAATATTTATATCAAGAATTATAACAAATTCGCAAAAATTAAAGATTTTAGAGCTCAATAGCTGTAAGTTAAGTGATAGTATTTTGAAAGTTTTAAACAATCAAAAAGCTGTAAGAAATTTAAGAGAAATTGCTTTGTCTAATACAGAATATGATAATAATATATTGCTTGAAGAAGATATACTTAAAATCTTATCAGGTTTGGAGATATCAGAAACAGAAGACATTGAGCTGACCTGTGTAAAATGTTACTTATCGAATAGTTTATTTGCACAAATACCAAACAATTTAAAATTTTCGTACATGAATTTATCTTTGAACGATTTGAGAAATATCTCAATGAAAGATATTCAATTCATTTCTGCTTCAAATTTAAGAGAGCTTCATTTATACGATTCAAATCTCGATTCAAATCATTTGGCAATGATAACACAGTCAAGTTGTGAATTTAAGAACCTTGTACGGCTTAATCTGTCCAAGAATAGATTTTCTGGAGAGGAGGTTATTAATTTTATGAAAAACTTGTCAAATTTCAACGGATTAGTTGAACTATATATGTATGAATGTTCAATAGAAATCAATTATTTTCTACGAATAGCATCCGTTATTCACAAAACAAAGCAATTACAGATTTTCAATTCTCTTTGTTTGCCGTGTAATGAAATGAAATTGAAATCTTCTGAATTGCAGATTCAATTGAATTCTAAAAGCTTTAATCTCGGATTAATAAAAGAATTAATGGACGAATATCATGATATAATGACTTTTCAATCATACATTTGCAGAGAGCCAGTAACTCTGTCTCTTGAATGTAAACTTGAATTATTGAAAAAATGCGGAATTCAATTGAGAAGTATTGATATTGATGATTATTTATGGAGGGTAGAAAAAGAAAAGCAATTCCTTTCAATGTTAAAACATCAAACCAAACTGAATGAGATAACAATAAAAATATCGCACTGTAGCAATTTCGTAGCCAATAGAAAATTTATAACTAATATTAAAGCAATGCTCAGCCATTTTGCAGAGCTAAAAACCATTACTTGTATTAAATTCAATAGAATAGTACAACGCTTTCATGAGAAAATGTTAAAGGAAAAAATTTCGAGTTCGAATCAAGACTATCAGAGTCTTTTAAAAAGTGTAATGGAAGAGAAGATCTCTAAAGATCATTTGGCATTCTCAAAAGATGCTGGCAAATCAATTCTCGATATTATTAATTCTAATAGAAATCTTCAATATCTTAGTATTGAAAATAATTATTTTCCATATAGTCTGGTGAAAAATATAATTTATACTATAGGGGAAAAATGTCAAAAGTTAACTGCTTTGAGATTTTCGTTCATAGATATAGAGAAATATGAAAGAGAACAGTTAAGTACGAACTTTAAAACTGAGATGGAAGAACAACGCAACTGTAAAATATTATCTAAGAACAAATTAGAAGAATTCTATTTTCATGAAAAGGATCTTGGATCTAGTATTGGTCTATCATTATTTGATGATATGCAGCAAAATTCTTATAATCTTAAAAGGCTATCCTTACCAAATTGCGGGAATACCAGCAATATTGAAAACGTTGTTTGTGATATAATTAAATCAAACAAAAATTTGCAGTCGTTAAATTTTAATAACAACAAATTCACATCAAAAATTGGAAAATTAATATTTGATGAACTTCAGAGAAATTGTTCATCGCTTACCGCCATTGACTTTTCAAATTGTTCATTAGATTTTACAATTGCGAAAGGAATAAGTCAAACAATCGAAAGAAATCAACAATTAAATACGATTTGTGTTAGTAATAATAAACTGACACCGGAAGTTGGTATAGCGCTTTGCAAAAGTATTATGAAAAATTGTTCGAATATTGTTGTACTAGATCTTTCCGATTGCGATTTTGACGAAACAATTACTGATGTTTTGGGAAAAGCTATTGGAGCAAATTCACACCTAACACAACTCTTTATTGAGAAAAACAAACTTGGATCAAAAGTTTCAAAGTCAATATTTGAAAATATTAAGGAAAACTGCTCTAAATTAAATATACTAAATACTTCTTATTGCAATATTGACGAAAGTATTGATAAGTCTATTAAAGAAGCTATTGAAAATAATCCATATTTAACTGAGCTCTATTTGCAAGGGAATAAATTTGGATCAAAAGTTGGAATATCAATATTAAAAGCAGCTAGAAATAAATTATCCAGGTTAAATATCCTTAATCTTTCTAATTGTCAAATTAATGTACAGATAAAGAATGATCTTTGGAAAACGATTAGATCAAATCCTAATCTTCAACAAATCTACTTGAACGAAAACAGTTTTGGATCTGACATCATTAATTCTATTACTGATGTTATTAAAGACAAAAATCAAATGACACTAACGGTACTTGCTCTCTCAGATTGTAAAATTAATGAAGAGGTGCAAAAAAAGATTGCATATGCGCTTCGTTTTATGCCTAAACTTGAAAAGTTACTTTTGAATCTCAACAATCTTGGTTCAGTCGTTGGGCCAACTATTTTCGAAACTATAAAAAATCATTTTACCTCCTTAATAACTATTAACTTTAGCAATTGTCGGTTTGATCAGAGCACTGGAGCACTTTTGGGTGAAGCAATTGGTAAAAATGTCAATTTACGCGAAATTTATTTAAGAAATAATCCTTTGGGATCAATTGTTGGATCATCTATTTTTAAGAATATTAAAAACAATTGTCAAAATTTGAATATTATTGATTTCTTTAATTGTAAATTTGATGGAGATACTCAATGTATTGGAGATGCAATAGCAAGAAATGTATATTTACAAGAGCTTAATTTAGGTGAAAATAATCTAGGAGTCGAAATTAGAAAATACATTTTGCATACTATCAAAGCTGCTGGTATTTACCTATCAACCCTTAATTTAAGCTCGTCTATTGAGAATGTTCGTTCTGATGATGATAATTTACCCAAGAATTTTTGGTCAAATATATCATTGTCAGTCGACTCTTCTCCCTCTTGTAAGGAAATTTGTTAAAGTTTGATCAGATTATATTAAAAACCACTATCTTCAGGTATAAATAAGAAAACTTTGAAATGTACCTACAAGCCAACTCGCCCATATATTGAAAAGAGTCATTCTTCCGAACCACAACCTGAAATACAGCAAACAAAACCTCTCGACTTGGAAAATATCGCGAAATTTACTGAAGGTAATTTATTACATCTTCAATAAAACCTTTCAAAAACATATTAACTTTTTAGCAGGTAATTCTTTGAATTTATATTGTAATTGTCTTCAAAATGCAATACCTATTCATAAATCTACGAGTCAAGCTAACTTCGATACTGAATATTCATTTCCCAAATTTGAAAATGATTTACACGAAAATTGCCTAAGAAAGTCAATATTAGATAATTACATTCGTCGATCAAAAGTAGTTTGGCAGCATCAATCATTTCAAATTTACATTTGGTTAAAAACAAATGACGAATACATCAACTTAGAATGTGGCTTACGAATTTATTTACGAAAATGTATATTACACAAAGATTTATTATTGAAAATCAACATTTCTGAAGAGAAAATATCATTTGAGGGAAAAATTGATAATGACGATTGTATTGGTTGGTTAACTGTACCAGTTCAAAATTATCCTTTAGATTTCGTACAGAAAAATAATGACTATGCCATTTCAAAACAATTTATGCGTATAGAAATTTCATGGAAAACAATTTCTAAAGACTTTCCATTAGGCATAGTCGAAAGGAAAAATGCCACATTGTTTATTTGTATTCAAGCCCAAAGGATTTGCCATGATGATATTTGTTGCTTAGTGACTATTAGAGATAATTCTACGGAATTAAATAATTTGAAAAATCTAGTGTATCTTAAAGAGATTGAAATGAAGAATTGCGTTGAAGATAGTTTACATTTATACATAAATAGCCATCATGAAATGAAAGTCATTAATATCAATTTACTGAGCCGAGGTTACATATTTGGAGAGCATTTCTTTGTAAACCGAAAAGATATTCACATTAATCTCACTTCAAATAACAAAAACATTTTAAAAGATCAATTTCCTTTGATGGAGAGACTGGAAAGTGAAAACTGCAGATTTTCAATCAAGTATTACATTGGTAAAAAACTAACATTAAAAATTCATAATGCAAAATTGGTCCTCACTGAGAATGGTTTGGACAAACCAACAGTTTTATCAATACAAAGTAAATGTTCGTATGAAATTGACAAGTCATCAGGCACAATTAGATTTCAAAACTTTGTGGACTGTCGACCAACAGGACTTTGCTTTTTTCAACCTGTCGATTTATACATCAAACCGCTGTTGGTTTATAAAAATGGCGCTGAAATCTCAACTAACAATGTTTCTAAAAACGCAATTTTTCACAAGGCTTCAGGATTTGCCTGCCTAAAAATCACAGGCTTTAGTGATCATGGTCTACTTGAAAATTGGGAAAAGGACAAAATGCTTTACATTCACTATTTCATTTCCATTCAAAATATGAACAGAGGTTCAAGATTAAACATTTATTATAGTCTAAACGAACCACTCGGCGTAGTAAGACAAATTAAATAAAAGCAATATCTTTTAAACGTTTTTCTAATGAAATTAATTGAAACATCAGACAGGCACCGCCAAGAATGTACAGCATTCTAATTCAACGTTGAAGTTACACTTCCGTGAGCAGTTTAAACATTTAAAACAATATGGAATTCAAATTACCTTAACATCAGAACCACACAAAAGTTGTCATAAGAGTTTTTATCAAATTTTCAGCAATTACACATCTGGTAATATTTCTATTCAAACAAGCAAATAAACTAACCTTTTCAACATTTGTCACTGCTCCATTCAAAGGTGAAACGGCCTCGATAACTTTACCGTTGGACATGTCAATGGAAAATTTGCAGTCCGACATTCAGTTCCAAGTAAAGCCAGATATTAGAAATTACAACGGTCTGTTTGAAGAATTCATCTCATACAAAGAAGCAATTGCAGAAAATCTCACGCAACAGCAATTAGATGAAAACTTTCAGAAATTTTTCTGCAAATTCGGTAAAAAAATTGATCTTCAGTAATGTTTTCAATTCCTTTTACAATTCTTCTTTTCTTTCTGTTTAGAAAGAAATGTCTTCCTTTCCTCAGCAATGCAACACTGCGAGATTACTAGCCAGCATGACATCAGACGTGGCTTGAGCGATGGCGTAGGCTTTTTGCTAATTTTATAGAAATTAACCGTAACATAGCTAACAGCAACATCATCTTTCTGACAGAACATTTACGATACAACATCAAGAAACCAGGTCGTTGTAATAATCATTGACGATGGGAACGGAGCAAGATCGGAAAACGACTGGATAAATCTGAAAATAATCTTCGCAAACCTAAAACATGAAATAGTACTGTGGAGAAATATTGACAGAGACGAATGTGAAAGGAAAATTCGATCACTGAAAACGAATCTTTCAACGTCGAATGAAAATGAGATGAACGTTCAATCTCTAATATTCTTTATTTTAGCCGACGGAAACAACAACTTGTTTTTCCTAAGCAACAATTCCACGTTCGAATTTAATGAATTTATAAATTACGTCGACAGCGACTTTCACCAATTCCAGGGAAAACCAAAGCTATTTTTCTTTCAAGTTCACAATCAACGTAAGATTTCTTTCATCTTTTCTTTTATTTCAAAATAATAACACACTTTTCGAAAAGTAGAAAACTCCGAGAGGGATCAATCATTCGTTGATCAAAGAGTTGCAATCAAACCCATCCCTTGCGATGACCACGTTGCCTGCCCACGGAACGTCACAAATAGATATGTATCACACGCAGCCAGAGATATCTTCTCGGTTCTTTGTACTCTTAAAGGTAAGCCAAGCGAACGGCAGTAACATCCTGTAATAAATGATTTGATGCATTGTTTCCTACAGACTCTCCATCACCCGCAAATAACTACGGCAGTAAATTCATTAGATCGTTTGTTCTCGCTATGGAATTTATTGGTAAAAATCAACCTCTCGACAAAGTTGTATACTTCATGTCCGAGTATTTGAGGCATTTTGGGGAAAGCAACCATCTGCCTTTAAGAGTTCATTCCGACGAGTTTTCTAGAAAATATTATTTCTTTCGAAATGAAAATTGTATAAACTTATAAACAATACACGCTGCCAATCATCACAAAGCACAGCTCGTTCTCTTCATCCTAGCCCCGTGCACAGTGAAGATACGCTGAGACTAAATTCGTCGGCTGTGAAACCGGCCAACAAAACGTCATCGCGCCCATCAAATTATAAAAGTCACCTTGACAAGAGTCAACAAAAACAATTTACCATATATGGATTACTTTAATCAGCTTTCACCGCTGTACCACATCTAGTCTATTATTACTTTCCACTTGCTCTAGTTTCAAACCAGCTCGGTTTATCCACAACAGGGAGCTTATACGGCTCACCATTGCCCTACACCCCTGCACTAGGCCCAGCACTGCAGATTTACCTTGCTTTCTATTGACAGAGACAACATTGCGCAGACAATTTCATTTCATAGATGTTGGTGTGACACAGCAAATTCACTTAAATCCGTACCCAACTAACAGCCGGATTGTTCACAATCAATCCGATTAATTTCTATAATTAACCAACATTCGTAGATTAAGCTAAAGCGGTAATTCGCTATTTAAGGAATAGTTGCCATGAATTTTCGTTATTACTTCAAAAAGCATCGAGAGAATGAGCTCGACTTGCGCAATAGTACTTTCTCTAGTTCTCTCTTTGTGCTTGTTCAGCAGTACGCATTCCAACAGTTCAAACATACGAAGAATAATCAACTCGGTTAGTTCAAGGAAAAGTGATGAAATGGCGAAAATTCAACGTTATTTGAATGAAAAAGTAAGTCGCTACTATAAAGATTGTATTTCTGTCAAAACTCAGTATCTCCACTTTTACAAAACAGAGACGGGACAATCATAGTCTCAACGGTTTTTGGATAAAATGCTATAATGACAAACTATGGATCAAAAACTCCAGTTGCTTTGTGCTGGGTTCTACGATATTTCAAATTTCCGGCATTGGTCCGTCGGATTTTACCGAAATTTGCCAACAAAATAATTATTTGAACTGCAAAGAAATTAATGAATTTGCTACGGTTTATTCAAAAACAGTCACGTGACTCATACATTTACAAGATATCAAATATGGCCGATTTCTTAATAAGCATCCTAGTTTCTATAGACAACTACAACAGTTGTTTAAGTTATAAAAGCCTTTGAAATACAAATGCCATCAATGTCAAAAACGGAACAACGCCAAGTCTGCAGCCTGCACAAGGTTTATCATACAAAAGCTCCTTGGCCAAGTCGTTGAAAGCGCCACATTTCTTAACGGCACCTAATTCGCAGCAGTATCGCTTCGTGCTGTCCTCCTTAATTTTTTCATTACACTTTTTCAACTCGTCTCTACAGCCTAACGAAGTAGAAATTTCAATCAATCTCTAATAGAACAAGGAAACGAAACCAACAAAGTCAACTAACCTGTTTCGCAAAACTTGGTCGTATAGCTCAAAGCCTCTTTCCTCTTTTCAGCCGAGCAAGAAGGAGTCTCATCTTTAAAGCACTTTTCTACTTCAGTTACAATTGGACAAATCTTTTCCATATCGTATTGATCTGTAGCGATAATATCCAATATCTCATTCCTCTTTTCTTTGGCACAGTCTACACCTTCGTCGTAACATTTGTCAGCAAGCGCATTTGGAAGAGCCGACACTTTTCAATAAAATCAATCTGAAGCTGTTATGTTTTGCAGTGTATTTTCGCTTCAAACTTACCCACACAAAGTAGTCCAAACAAGAAGTACATCGCTTCCATTCTGATGAGTGAATATTCGAAAACATCTCGATTTGCCCGTTTTATACGGTTGGTAAATAGTATGGTTTTGAATGTGGGGAAATTCCAATTTCGGGAAAGCTATTTGCAGGTGGCGCTAAGTTCCTTTTTAGGAAAGTCAACAAAGGTAATGTGGGGAAATTCCAATTTCGGGAAAGCTATTTGCAGGTGGCGCTAAGTTCCTTTTTAGGAAAGTCAACAAAGGTTTTATTTATTCACCAGCAGTGTGAATATTCGTTTCATTTATTCAGTAATACTCAAGATAACATGTGTAATTTATGAAAAATAGTGTCCACTACGGCTCAATTGCGGCAGTTTTTCAAGCAACAGTCGTTAACGTTGTTTGGTGAACTGCTGGTAGAGTTTGCTGACGATTGGGCTACAATTGCGAATGGGTCGATTATCTCCAGGTCTTCTCCATTGTCTTTGAAATCAAAGTAGCCCGAGTAACGTGACGCCTTCAACGCCTCGCTGACCAAACCGGAAATTGGCACAATTTCATTTCTCTACTTGTTGAAAAATGAGTTTATTTTTGGAATGTTTAATTTTATTGATAGATAAAATAACCTTGAAAATGTTTGAGTAGTCAAACTTGAAAGCTTCTTCGTAATCCTCTATTCCTCCTTTGTACACGGTATAGCAAGTGTGCGGCGTCGCCTTCTCTCTTCCCACTTTGAAAAGTCTGTAGGTTGCAGACACGAATTTCGCGTCACCTAGTCGTTTCAAAAATAATCATTACTTGTCAACACCGCTATTTTAGGGGCTTACTCACCAACAACTCTCTGCAACTCCTTATTCTTCAGGTCAATGACACTGGCGTTAACTAAAAGTGGAGTGCTGAATCCCACCCTTGTCGCTATATCAATTAGGTCACGCCAATACAGTGCGCCCGCAAAACACTCGCCTAAACAGCAATTCAATCAGTCAAATGCCTATTACTCTCTTTAATAAACGCATTTACAAACCCCATAAAGTTTTATGCTTTAGAATATCACCCGACAAACGACGATCCGCATAGACATCGCTAAAATACAACTCGCCTCCTTCCTGAAAATCATTTTTGCACTCAATTAACGCCGTGTAAACATTTTAAAGTGATTGTTACTTTTAGAACTTTGTAGGCCTGCCATAGAACGGCTTGTTTGTCCGGCGACAGGTTCAACACGCAATTTGATCTGAATAAGTAAGCAACTTCATAGTTATTGCAGCCAAAGTCTTATTTCAACTTTCGAAAGAGTAACGCTTACACAATGACGTCATATGAATTTTCCTCAATTCCGGCATCAGTCAATTTCTCTATAAATCCTCGTTTAAATTCTACATTTGGTTTAGAATAGCCAAATTGTCTCGTATGATAATCTATGTTTTCATCCGCCACGTCCAGCTAATCAACAAACATTGTGTATTTTAACTGACCAACTAATCGGGATACAGCTTACTATACTGTATCTTATCTATTAGTACAATTGCTTATCTATCTAAACAACTACTAGTCAACATATTAGGGGTCAAGGTTGTAGTAATGTGAACAAATTGGGAACAAAATTGCAATGGGAAAGCTACCTGCTCTTGTGTCATATCCAAACCAGTAACAAACCCATTTGGTCCCACCAACTTACTCAGACAAAAGCAGTCCCTACCAGCTCCACATCCCAAATCTAGAACTGAACAACCTTCAAGTGCAGGCGGTATGACTATACCACAACCGTAGTATTTTTCGTGAACCGCTCCTGCCACCTGGCTTAGAGCCTTCTTCACAGATTTTGTCATCACTTCTCCTTGTCCTGTTGTGCAGGCGGTTGTTTGCAGATCGTCGCTTTTCTGCAATACGTTTCCGTAGTAGTCTTTGACGTTTTCATAAATTTCCTCCGACATTTTTTCTTCTCTTCTTTTGCCTCGACGAAAATTTCGACAAATTTTCAAATATTTCCAATTTCTGCTTTCCAGTCTATAGACTAAAGCCAAACTATAAAATTCAACAGCAAAACAGCTGCCTTAAATACTTGTAGAAAATCTAGTTATTGCCGATTTAGGCCTAAGTGAGTTGCGATAAAACGCGATAAAATACTATTATTAGCTTTCTCATTTTTCCCATTAGCTTTTAACCGAATTCTCATTTCTTTTTGTCCCATTCAAGTTCTGCTTTCTCAATTTTTTCACAAATCAATTTCAATATTTAGAATAGCGATTATCTAGACAAGTTCAATTCGACCTCTGCTACGTATTTCGCAGGAAACGACCCTTCAATGTTTCAACCATTCGGTGACAAAGCAAAAATAAATGCCAACGCTTACGTTAATATTAATGCGGCCAGTAGAATCTTTTTGAATATACAATAGGCAAAATGCTGATATCTTATCCCGTTTCTTGAATTGTTCATTCATGCGATACCCTTTTTGATGTTCTGTCTAATGGAATATTGTGGCATTTTTTTAAGATTTTCGAGTGCATTGGGGATAAACTAAAAGTAGTTAATTTTTTTATTTGTTCAGGTGAATATTTAATTGTCCTTTCTTTAGAATGTTTATATTTAAATGCTTCAAAACAATTCTTAGACGATATAGGTCACTGCCTAATCTCAACCACTACTGGGAAGGTACTACTACTCTGTAATTCTCAGTTTTTTTTATAATGTTAACATATGAATATGATTTTAAATTAAGTTAATTTTATTATTTATGGTTTTCTATTCAGAAACTATTCACAGATGAAGAAATTAATACGATATAACAAAGGTAACCATAGGAATATGAATATTTATTATAATATAGACTCTATATATTTGCATCTTACATTCTTAGAACATCAAAGTGTGTTTTTCCAAATGAAAGAAAAATGTTCTCAATAAAAGAAACAATTTATTTAGTTCATTTTCTATTATTTTTATTTCGAATGGAATGTCTATCGTATTCATTTAAGACTTTTATCAAACTAGAGATTTTTAAAGATGATGATATATTTGTTATTGGAAATTTAACTGTTAGGCAATATATTCTTCCAATAAATGCAATTGTAATGAAATCATGCCATGACCGAGATCTCAATATTCTATGTAAAGATTTTGGTTATGGTTATGGTTATTCTAAATATCACTGCCAGAAAAGTAAGAGAGGAAAAAATACGAAAAATCTCTTGCATATAGATTAATAATTTGAATTTATTAATAGTAACAGATCGTTTTTTATCAACGAAAACCTTAGAATTGAAAACAAATCGTGTATTTTGCAGCACGTGATTAATATTAATATAATTGATTTTTTTTTGTTTTTTCTAATATTTCTATATATACATTCAAAATAGATATGTTCAAGTATGTTTAAGATGTTTCAAGATGAATTCCTCTTGTATTCACATAGTTTTCTTTATCCTTCATCTGTATTCATTTATAAACATATATATGTTTCTTTTTTTTGCATAGATATGTTTGCCATGTTGAATGTAATGAACTCAAATTTCAATATTATTTTAAAGCGGAATAACGAATTTTACTCTGTTAAATCATATAAAAATATGACAAGTAAATTATGTGAAAAAGCTGAATTCATTATAAAATCTAAGCTTAATGTGATAAATTCAATAAATCTTATAATATATAACAAGACTATAAAATCTATCAATCGTTTACCAAATTCCTTTCCGGTTGTATGTTCAGAAAATGAAATTGATGGTAAAGTCTATTTATTTATTGAAAATTATGTCTTCTTTTCAAATTTAAACAAACTATTAGATATAAAGATTATTGAACTTTCAAATTCTTACTCTTTTTCAAAGAATATAAGAAATGTATCTATCGTTTTCCATTCAAGGATATATGGAACTATTTATCCAGTTTTTGTTAAATTGCAATTTTCCTCAACGACTGAAGAGCTGTTTTGGTTGAAAGAAACGGCTACAGTCATATGCAAGGAAATGTCAATGGTTCTTAAACCAGTATCTATTCGTAAAGTGGTTGTTGAAAACTATCCAGTATAGTAAAACATTAATAACAATTAATAGAAAAGTCACTGTTACAGTTTAATAATTAAATATACATATATATATATTTATAGAAGAGAGTTGTTACTGCTTTATTTTGTAATTGGAAAATTGGTAACTTTAAAGAATGTCACGCTACACTTGTAGATAACTTTCAAACTCTTTTATACATAAAACCCGAATGTGAACGACGATATTCTTTTAAAGGTGTTTTGTATTGTAAAATTATGTAATACTCTATATATAATTTAAATTGCTATTCTATGAAACAATAGATTTTCAAGTGAGATTGTACAATAACAAATTGAATCATATATACAATAAGTCTCATAATTTCAAAGAGTTCTATGGTTATTTTCAAATAGTTATGTTTTCAAAATGGCTGTTGTTTCCTATCCAAGTTATAGACTATTTTCATTTGAAGCTAATCTGTAAATACTTTGGATTTAACTCAGGAACGTTAATTGCGCTTGAGAAAGAATTTTATCAATTACATTCATATCTGGACGAATACGTAATTGCTGAGATGCAGTGTGAATTAAATTCTACATCTATAAAAGATTGCTCGTATTATGAAACCTTAAATCAATTCTTTTCAAGTTATTTGAAATTGATATATGCTATAAAATGCAGTAATGATGTATTTAAAGGTAAACAATTTCATATATTTATGGTATTATCTAAATTATAAAAAATCATATATTGTTATCCAATAAAGAATGTACAGAGCCAACTTCCTATCGATTATTTCATACATGCTTTTATTTATATTTGTTCGATGGCAAGTCTATTTCAGCATTAGATGAGGAAAAAGAATGCGAAAGATTAAATCTAACAACAATAGACGTTTTACCAAGTTCCAACATTTATCTTCATTATGCACTAGATATATTTATTAGGTTTCTTTCCTTACCAAATACATTTTTTACAAAAGATAAAACAACTGGTAAATAGTTAATACTTGAACAATTAATATCTGATAATAAGAAGTAACTTTAATACCATTTTAAAGTTTTAAAAACTTTTAAAAAGAAT